CAAAACAAGTATATTGAGGAAGCTGTTTCAGGTCGAACACCATTCTACAGAGATTGACGTATGGGTTAATTCTTAGGTATCTACAGGCTATAAAGAAATAGGTAAGCATCCTCCACCCATTTGGCACGAGCTGTCCAGGGCTCATATTATGCTCGACCAATAAGGCCACAAAAAAGGGATGCAGAGGCCATCGAAATCCCCCCTTTAGTGAGTCCCTAAAAATCACGAACTCTCCATCCCGAGCAAAGGCCATCCTATCCTCTACCCCTGGCGTCCTAACGTCGCATTTGGGCATGAGCCCATGCTCCCTAGCCGTCGATATCGCTAGATGTTCTTTAAATTTACAGGGGACCTCGGGATACCTAAAAGGGGTCGGGATACTTTGTGCCCGAGGTTGGGCATTAATTGGGACAGCCATAGGTATGATCGAGCATCCTATGTCCTTAGGAGTACTCCTCGAGGATGAGGACGAAGACTCACTACTGCTACTACTAGACATCCTGACCTATGTAAAAAATACCTAAAGAATAACTTAAAAACTCGAGGTCTTACCTTAAAGTCGACGTCTAAAAACTCAAAGTCCGATCCCGACGATTAGCGAGAGAAGTTTACTGAGAGTAAAAAGTGAAAAATGAAATGAGGGGAGGGTATTTATAGGCAACAGGAGCAAGAAGCCCAAAAGTCACTACCCCGACCGTTAGATCTGGACACGTGTCCCACATCTAACCCTACCAGTTTTTACCGCCTTTTCCTATTCCAGGGCTGACGTCAGTACGCGTCAAGCCTTTTGATCAAGGACAGGTGTTCAGAAATCCCTGGGCTAAAACTCGAGCTTTTATTTCTAGTCTCTTTGCATCATATCCTCGAGCATTTTCTTCGAGCATATATGCACGGGGGCCTATGATGGTGACATTTTACAATATCCCCGATCAGTATATCCCGAGGACTAATTTTGGTAAAGTTGTAAATCCATCTGTGGTGTCCTCGAGCATGTTCGTCCTCGAGACACAAGGCCCGACCACATCTCCATGACGCTTCGCATATTGCAAACATGTGTCCTCGGGCATAGTCCTCGGGAATGTGCTCTTCCTTACTGCTGACAATTGTTCACCCTTTAGAATTCCTACGCAATTAGGAATCTTAACTCCCACAAGAGTCCTATCTCACGCATAATTCTGGAATTCAACCAACTCCTTAACCATTCAGGACTCCAACAGATGAGGACATCCAGCTAGTTGAGTCCAATTAGGAGAATGTCACTTACTACTATAAATACAGAACCTTGAACCATTATTCAGGTACGTTTGACATTGTTCTTCAGCACATAGCCTCACGCATATATTTCCCTTTCTGACTTAAGCATCGGAGGGGCGACGAGAACACACCTCGTTGCCTTTGTTTCAGGTATCGGAAGATCACGTTCGTGCTCATCATCAGTCATCAAGCTCGGGAAATCTACAGGTACGATTTTTGGTAGCATCAGTCACCATGTGAAATTTTTAATTATTTGAATTATTCAAGAATTCCAAAATTGTTAGCACATTTGAATTTTCAAGTTCAATTGTTTGACATCAAAATAAGAGAATACATTTTAACATTCCATCCTTTGATCTTAGATATCACTATTTTAACATTCTATCCTTTAATAAGATTGATCTGCCTCTTGATTTATGCTGAGATACTGATTCCTTCATACATTAGTTTACTTCGAATATCAATGTCGCAAAATAGTCGCTAATCAACAACTATATTTGAATACCATTACTCTTACTGAACAAAAAGTAAAGTATCAGAAGTTTAGTGACATAATGTTATGAACATCAAGGTAAAGTCACTATCAATACATTTTTAGGCAATCTCAACCAACATAGGTGATAATACAGAATTAAACAAAACCAACAATTTCAGTTTCACGTTATCCCTAGAAACAGCTCAATCGTAGTCATTCATCAACTTAGTGGGCTCAGACGTTATTAATGGACATCATGATTATTTATTTAACTAAAGCGATATTATTACCCCCACTTTAATCAATCCCATGAGGACACATGGTATACGTGATAACATCATGGTCAACCAATCAAAGATTAGCAATGATGGAGATAACCGCAATTATCCCAAATGTCACGATAACCTGTAAGGAGCCAACCTTGTCTTCCAAGAAGAAAACCTTATCATCTGAATAATTTGGCACACCTAATAGGGAAAACGTTGTAATTGTCATCGGGTGACAATTCAAATACTGTAATCGACATGACAATGATGGCCAACCTTTCCAAATTCAGCTATAATACTTTACTCTCTTTTCTCTTCGGTAACATAATACTTTCAAGGAAAAGTCAATAATATTATCTTTGTACTATTATCAAAATTGATTACTTCGATTTTGAACGTCAACAACATGCAACAATTCTCTCGTTTATATTTCCCAAATTTAATTAGTTCAATGATTTCCAATTTTCAAAAAGTTCAATTAAAAATTATAAAGGGGATAAAAATTCTCCGAGAGGTCAATCAATTAGTCAACTTATAATTTATCTCATTTGGATCACTTAACTTTTTAATGTCAATTAAATCACCAAACTTAGACAAACGTGTCAATACTAATAAACATAGCTCGATGCATACAAATAATATCTTTCACATATCTATTAAACACACAATCATCCATCAATCAATTAAGAGTGCCTAGGAAGACATTGATAAACTAAGGATTTTATTTTTTTATTTTTTCTTATTTTATTATTTCATAAAATATTTGACATCCCAAAATTCCTTATTAATCAAAACTCTGAAATGCAATTCAAGCTCCAGTCTTGCATAGACAAAGTTGAGGTCCAAAGGGCGTATCTGGAATTGTACACCTGCCCCCACTATAACCATCTGTTTTGCAAAACTTGATGCACTCTTCATCCGACCTACAACGTCCTATAACAACATAGTCATTAACTCCATCGAAGCCTTCGAAGCCTGCTACTGAAAATTCAGAAAAATTAAAAATAAAATTGCTATACTTGGGGAAATGGGAAATGAAACAAGGGAAATGGAATATAAATTTACCTAAACTCTTTTCATGGGAAGACATGAGCAATGTTGTGCAAAAAACTCCAATGAAAAGGGTTGTTCTGAGAGAATCCATTCTTGTGTTGTGTGTGAATTGGATGAACACATTTTGACCTATACATTATCTATAAATAAATGGTCTTTGCCCTTCATATTGATTACTCCAGCTAATACTGATTCATTCATTTATAGTTATTTATAAATGAGCAGTTGACTACTATGGGTTTGTTTGGCAAGAGATTTTCAAAGTTAAAAGTGAGTTTTAAGACTAAGAATCCATTCTTGTGTGTTGTGTGTGAATTGGATGAACACATTTTGACCTATACATTATCTATAAATAAATGGTCTTTGGCCTTCATATTGACTACCCCAGCTAATACTGGTCCATTCATTTATAGTTATCTACTGATCCATTCATTTATAGTTATCTATAAATGAGAAGTTGACTATTATGGGTTTGTTTGGCAAGAGATTTTTAAAGTTAAAAGTGAATTTTAAGACTAAGAAGTTTATTTAGGATAAGCATGACATGATTTTTACTTTTGTTTCTATTTATTGTAGAAGTGCTTCCTCTAAAAACTCTTTTAGTAAGACAAAATACTTTCAAAAAATTGTTTAAATACGTCTAAAAGTAGTTTATTAGTTTCAGAAACAACTTTTAATTTTTCAAAAGTCACGTCAAATGAGCCATAAATCAGTTTGGATAATTTTTTGAAAGTGTTTTGTTCAATTATATGAAGTCATAAATAAAACATTTTTGTACTTTAATTCCAAAATCATGGTGTAATTTCTGAGACAAAATTATTGCACTAAAGTTTATATTTATATAATTTGTAATGGCATATATTAATCCTGATCATTTTTTTCCCCTCTTTTCTGTTTCTATGTAGAGAATTAAACAATTGTTAAAAAGTACCATGCTCGGTTAATTCTTTGATTCGACGATGATATATTATTCTAAAGTTTTACTAAAAAATATTGTAAAAAAATTTGTGGGTATGCAATCAGATAAGTTGTAAGTTAAACGAACTATTTGGATTAATTATTTTTTTGATGTATTCTTTAAATTCTTTGAAGTCAATGACTCAATGATAATGGATCTGTTTATCATAAATAGATTCGTCGTTTCTGATCCCGCTTCACCATAATTGTTATCTCAACAAATAAAAGTTATGTCTTAGTCTAAGTGGGTTCGAGATACTAAATTTACAAAAATAAGTATTGATTACTTCATAAATCTTCACTGTATCCAAGAAAGAGTAAACTAGGTCGAAAACCTCGGGCACATGTAAGTCGGACCCTTTCTTGCTTTCTCGGAAAGCTATTCCCCGTCGGATTATCACAGAAAATATGAATCATCTTTAACCTTCGAGCCTGAAGCTAGACGCATTCAACTTTAGGGAGTAACGCCTTCTATTTACATTTTAGAATGTACAAGAAAAATAAATTTTATACCAGAATAGCCAAATTGGAATTTATTATTATTATTATTATTATTATTATTATTATTATTATTATTATTATTATACAATTAACTTGCACCACATGTTGTTTAGAGTAGTTGCATTTATATAAATTTCAAAATATCATCCATTTCAAAGACTAGTAGTAAGCACGTGCGTTGCACGTTTTATGTATCGGACGAATGATATGCCTAATATTTTTAAGTAATAACAATGTTTCTGGAAGTAGTTGATGTAATTAATATTACTAAAATATATATATAACATATTTTATGAAATTATGCATATAATGTGAAAGGTTTAATAAATTGAAATGTAATATTTTCATTTGAATAACATTTCTTTGTACACAATATTTTTTTTCAACATTCTACAACTTTTTTTTGTTTTATTTTTTATTTTTAGTTTTTTATCAATACTTTTGTTGATTGCATTGAAAATCCACAAAAAGTGTGAGATCTAGTTGTCCATAAGATAATACATGTTCAGAAATATATATTCTAATAATAAGCATTGTTTGTCCTAAAACTTTGTTAATGATAATTGCAAGTATGGATATATTGAAAATTGTTCTCTCTAAAATTTGAATAAATATCCTTCATCATTTGTTAGAGTTAATAGGATGTGCGGATACTATTTGACAACAGTGTATTTAGACACTCCTTTTGATAAAATTGATTTGTATTTAAATTCCACACAAAAAATAAAAATGAGAATCAAACATGAAACAAAATTACTAAAAAGAACATACCTTGAAGATGAAGAACTAAAATAATCAAATATTGAATTGAATTGACAATAAGCAAGGATGTCCAAAAATTACTAAATTCTATTACTACTACAAACAAATGGTGTGCTTAAATTCATGAAATTAAATTATTATCATTTTTGCTTTATTTTGAATGGCAACTTCATATAAATTACAAAACTTTTACTTGAATATTGAAATGCTAAAATGGATGCATAATTTATATTCATTAAATATATCCAAAATCACAAAATATAAAAAGTTATACCTCATTTAATTTGTCGAAAGTAGTGATATATTTAATCCCTTGCTTTGGTTTGCCTAAATTCAAGTAAATATATTTGACTTATTTCGATTCAATAATGATTTGATTAGATTTAGTATCATTGGAGACATGCACCTCTTTTTATAATAATTCTGTGAAAATCGAAAGGAAATGATAATAAAAAATTATAAAAATAATTGGTACGAACTTAAAATCAAAAGCTAGTTTTTTAAATATTCTTTGCACATAGTATAATATGAAAAAAGAATTTACAACTTAAACGAAATTATAAAGTCAAATTTAAGATCTTTCACATTTAATAATGTTAATATTTTTAGTAATATCTATATATAATATAAGTTTAATAAGCATCAATGATACTTACAATTTTTTTAGTATATCGTATAACAATATTTCAATATGATGACATTAAAATTTAAAATGTATACCTTTTTAGTATTATCTGACTAATGTTCTATCGTTATAATTGATAAAAATAAAAAAAATAAAAAAATTGAAATGCCTACAAAATTTTAAAATATCAAAACACTTGGACAAAAAATTGTGGATTGTGACATAAACCTTAAACTAATTGATTATGCAATTAAATTATTTACATAAATAATTTTTAACTCTAATTTTGCGTTAAAACCAATATTCAAAATAAAATAAAATAAAAAAGTTGGAAGGCTATGCATTCAAGAGCTTTCTTAATGATTAATAGTCATAATTAATTAAGAAATACAAAATATCTTTCTTACAAATTAAAGGTAACAATACTAAGTGAATGTCAATTATAGAAATGGCTATAATTAATAAAATTGATATCTCAAGAATTATTAATATTCTATGGTGTATTGAATCAAATTTGTAAGGATTAAAAATTTTGAGAATATGACACTCGAAATTTGGGATAATCTAATTTTATATTTTGATAATTTTTTTCTCTTTATCCAATGTTTAAATGAAAAAATTACAAATTTTAATAAGCACCAAACTGTTTTTCGGATTGAAAACTTATACCTATATTTTTTGCAAGTGAAATTGACATTAGAATTTCCAATTCCTCAAAACTAACATTCACACATTATACGATTGTAACAATAAGAAAGAAATAATTTCATTAATCAACGAATAACATAAAGTCAAAATGTACAAGATTCGAATTGAGGAAATAAAGAAAAATTTGTACTACATTGGATAACCGAATGCAAGTAAATTTCGGTAAAAAATAAATTCAAAATAACTACACAATATAATAAATCTTTACATAATTCACACTATTAAAATTCATTATTGACAAAAGTAAAAGGTTTATTATTGGTTCTTGTGCTCGATAAAAAATAAAAAATAAAAAAAATGAATGGCCATCATTCCAATCAAAAGTGACCATCAAAATTTGTGATTAATAATTACACATCAACTACATAAGAAAGTAAAATATGAAGAAAAACAATTTATAAACACATTCTCAATATGTGATTCGTGAGTGACGAATTATGAATTCATAATTGAGATTTAAAGAGTAAGGAAGCTCTAATTATGTGTTTGATTAATAAAATATTTAAAGATTGTGATTATGGATTGAATTTATTATTTTCAAAAGAATTTTTTAGAAATGTAATACTATTTTCAATATGTATTATTAGGTTTGAAAATATTTAATTGCGTTAGTAATTTTATTTTTTTGTCAATTCTATATATTAATCGACTTAA